CAGCTGGTCCATAGCCTCGTAGGGGATGATGTTGATCTTGTTGATTTCATGGGAAGTACGGAAACCATCGAAAAAGTTGACGAAAGGCACTGAGCTCCTCAGCGTGGCAATATGGGCTACCAAGGCCATGTCCATCGATGCCTGGACGCTGTGACCAGACAGCTGCGCCCAGCCAGTTTGACGTGTGCCCATGACATCAGTGTGGTCGCCAAAAATACAAAGAGCATGTTTGGATATAGCTCTTGCAGCCACATGGAAGACGCAAGGGTTGAGGGCACCAGCGATTATGTACATATTCGGGATCATAAGTAGTAGACCTTGTGAAGAGGTAAAAGTGGTACCAAGGCCTCCAACATCGAGAACGCCGTGTACAGCACCAGCGGCACCGCCTTCTGACTGCATTTGGGTAACCCTTGGGACGCTGCCGAAGAGGTTCTTCCGTCCTTGACCAGCCCAGTTGGCCATGACATCACCCATCGGTGTGGCGGGCGTGATGGGATAGATCTGAACAAGTGAGCTGTACAGGGAAGTAGCTCATGCTGGGCTCACCATAGCCTGCTCGGACCATGCATACGCCACATAGGCAGCTGCAGTACAGCCATCGTATGGCAGCTGTTTCTGTGGGAACTCCTTCAACTCCTGAGGGGAGCACGATCACGATCACACATTACACTCGGCGATATAACGACCTTACCTTAGGTGCAGGGTGTACCAGCTTGGTGTAACTCTCGACTGACGATGAGTTAGCTGCTGCTCCTGATACACTGGCAAAGGCCTGCTTGGACATCCGAGTGGCGGATGCAGCAGCCGCAACAATGCGAGTTGAAGGTAATAGTGATCTTGATGATAACATATGGGAAGAAGCACGCGGATAGCTTCTAGTTGTCGGGGTGAATGAAAATTGATCTACTAGACTGAGGACGTCTTGTAGATAAGGAGAAACCAAACTCCTGAACACATTATTATCAACAGGCCGATGTACCCCTATAACTGGTGACCCCAACAGGAACGCTCGAACGGTACACGATAAAGAGGGCATTCCTGAAGAAATTCTCGAGAGCAAATCGCCACACTTCAAGGAAACCAAGGTCCAAGCACATCATGCGAGGCGAGGCTACACTTAAAGCTTGATCTAACAATACAATGTATCAATGCATAGATCAATTCCAGAATGATTGCGACTTTGGTTCATTGAATCACTTGGAAATTTCCAAGTCACTTGCGCACTTGCATTTCCTCAACGACGCCTAGTCTTCTCCCGTCGAGGTGGCGGGGATTTCTCCAAGTTGGAAATTCCAACCTTACCTAAGTCACAGGTTGTGTACGCTCGTGTGGAATTGTACGAATCTATCGTGAACCGGTGTGTTCCGAGTATCGACGTTATTGTTGACCAACTGCTGGACGCTCAGTGTTTACAAACCGCACAATGCATGCAGCGGCCGTGGCAGCCTCGGTTGCCGCACACAGAAGAGCACTCAGACGGCGAAGATCAGCAGCACGGGAAGGTCTCTTTGACGAACCGTCGCCCCTGTATGGTAAGTCGCTTTGAGGTAAGTCGCTCAACCACTACAGACGTTGTGTAGGTGTTGGAAACTGTCACCCGCCTAGACGTAAACAACACGCTTACGGTAAGGACGGTGAGATCGACTTGGTGGTGGCCAGTGACTCCTTCTGTAGGCAGTCCTTCCATACGGGACCAGCACGAGTTCGACTTCTTCCCCATGCCTGACCACATAATACGTGTGAGTACACATTAATATCAAGAAGAAGAGGCACCCAAAATCGATCATCACGACGCCTCAGGCCCACGACCCGAACCTCTTAGAAATTCTTGAGGCGTACCAGAGACAGCTCCGTCGTGAGCAAGGTACTCGCTCTTCAATTCACTGTACTCATGAGTTTGTTAAAATCACGCTGGTTCATCATTCAGGGCTGGCTCGTGGATCGACGAGGGGTCAAACCTCGAAGAGCGAGCGAAAACCGTCGTTCTTTCAAAGACTAGGTCGGTGACCAATCACTTCAAGTATACTTCCCATTCGGCCCTCTGGCAGGGTCCTCGGTTTTCGCACTGATACGATGTCGTTCGACCACCCACATCACGAGGAAGGCAAGTGAACCTCGCAGTCTCCTTCTAAGCCCGACAGTGTCTCCTGTCAAAGCACGTCTATCCTCCAGCTCGGAAACCAGTACGGCATCTTTGTGAGAACAGCAAGCTTGTGAATTTGATGTATTCAGCTTCCTTACCGTCTACAACAGTATCAAGTCACAGAGAGTCGTTTGCTTCAGGGACTTAACCGTGATTTCAGTTCTATTTTATCAAACTTCATCACCCACTATAGGGAATATCACTTATCAATACGGCACGTATTCTTGGGCATGTATAAACTCTATCTGATGCCGATGTGACTTGACTGTTGTTCTAGTACACCAATACTGTCGAAACTACACAACACAACATCCTTCAGTGTACACCTAGTAGATCATGTATACTGGTAACGGTATCAAACATAGCTCAATGAAGCATGTCGTTGTGAGTACCTGACGATAGTAGTCGGAGGTGTGCAGGACGGGTCCACTCACATGACGCGGACAGACTCCGGTAACATGTCAAATTTCCGAGGCATCGACTTCTTGCCCTCGAGGCGCTGGACGGGCGGCTTGTTTGATCGTTCCGAGTTGACGCCTGAAACATGGATGGAAACGTATCCCCACTGACTATACGTGATCAGACCATCGCCC